AGACTTAGAGCCAACAGCTCTGAGTTTGAACCCTGCCTCTGATACTGACTTGCTTGATCTACACAACTCTGTACTTTGTTACCCAATGTGGTAGCCACTAAGCACGTGCAGCATGGAACATGTGAACCCTGGCTTCTGTGACTAGGATGGAATTGTACATTTTACTTAATGATGACTGAATTAAAGTAGCCACCTGTGGGCGCCATATTGGAAAGCATGAGGCTAGACATTTAATTTCCATGAACCTCATCTGGATCCTGAGGAAAACAGGAACCTCCACAGCAGTATTTCACAAAGCATGAACAAGACACTTATGTAAGGACTTAGACCATGGCAGGAAAGCCATGCTAGTTGCAATTAGTTGAGGGTGTTATTTAAAGGTGTGGGGGTGTTTACAAGCAAAGCAGAAACAGGGCAGAAGATTGAGAAGATGGACCACAGCTGCATTGGAAGGTATTGGAAGTCACATTGTGGCTGGCAGAACTTCGAAATATGTTTTTAGATGATTCATACATTTTCATTACTTTGCTACCCCATCTGTTTCCCATCAGCAAACCCTTAAAATGCAAGAAGGGCAGTTTACTGGTATTTGGGAGCTATGAGGAAGAAGGATTTGTGTTCCTGTCTGTACCCAGCCTGAGGCCGTGACCCTGAGTTCACAGCAGGTGAGGAAACAGCATGGTAAGGCAAAGAGGTAGAGGCCTTGCTGCTCTGTGCCAATGGGCATGGACAACCAGAGACTGGGTTCAGGGCCGAATAGGGGGAATGTGAGCTTCCCCAGAACAGAGATGGACTGACATGAGAGAGTGCATGTATGCACTCACCCTACCTGGGGCTTTTGCGATATTGTTCACCAGAAGGGTCTGTTTTTGTGGGGACCCCAAAACTTCTGAGAACAGTGGAAGGCCCTTCCTCTAAGGAAGTGGGTGGTAGGCTGAACATGGGGTTAGTGGAGAAGCAGACACAGGCAGGGCCACAGCAAGGGAGTGACGCTCCAGAAGAGTCACTTATCTTTTCCTCCCTTGGTACTCAGGGCCTGGATTAGCCCCCATCACTCTCAGTCCAGCTTTAAGGGGCTCAAGAGGCATCTAGGCTGATTGGTCAAACACTGTCAAGAGGAGCAGTTCTTGGCATTAACACCCAGACCTCTGCAGGGTGAGCCAGACATGCTTGAATGCTCATGAGTCCCTCAACCTCAGGGTCATCTTTGGTACCCACAGCTGCCCCATCAAGACCTGCTCAAAGTGAGAGCTCCCCTCCAGCCTCAGGGTATACAGCCCTGGGGTTCAGATAGGGGCACGTCTCCTGGGGGTGCTTCCCACCCCCCTCCATGCAGGCAAGGGCTCAAAGTCAGGTTTCACATTTTGGATAGGCACAGGTGCTGCCCAAAGCCATAAGCAGCTATGTCAGCTCACATAGGACATCGGACATCCCAGGGAGCTTGTCCATCATATGTGTCCTGAGTGACACAGAACTCATTGGTGAAGATCCAAGGGTCCAATGGCACTAGGAACTTGCTTCTTTTAGTCCACTCTTGTGGATGGAGACACAGGAAGTCCTTCCTGCGTCCAGATATCCAGCAGGTTCCTGGCCTTCAGTGACTTCTATATGCCCTCAGAATGGAGTCTCCATTTGCCCATGGCATCCTCCTCCCTCTGCAGCCCAGGGGCTCTCACATTGCCACTACAGCTCCTCTGGTCCTCTCCACAGATAGGCTACTCTTTGCCTCCCAGCAAAGGGTTTCCCACACTGCCTTCTCCCCAGGAGTTCTTCTCGTCCCTTGGTGCCTCAACCTCCAGCAGTCACTCAATAATTAATTCCTCTGGCTAGGCTCCCATACATGCTGTGACTCTACACACCCCTCAGACCTAGGCTCCAACACCTCCCATATTCTGCCATGGCAGCTGTCTCGGCTGGAGTTGTATTTTTATTGGAATGGTTATTTGATGGATGCCTACTTTCCCTGCTGGACTGCAGCGTCCCTGAGTGGCAGAGAACCCGTCCATCTTGCAAATGGCACATAATATTTGTTCTCTAACTGCTTGTTGAGTGAATGAGGGATGTTCCTTCCTTCACCCTATGGTGTCCCTGGGGAGGAAGAGCAAGGGCACCTGCCCAGCCCTGGGCAGAGGAAAGTTGTGGCATATACATCTGTAGAACTGGCACTCATATCTTAGGCATCAAGACCGAGAAACAATTTGCAAGCCTGTGACACACTTCATGAGTGGCTTAGTGATAATGACAGTTTGCTTCCCTTCACCTACAACACCTCTACCTATAGATCCCCAAAGAGCAGAAATGATAAACTAAAATATACAAGATCCATCTATCAGCCTGTCAGCCATGCCCCTCCTGCCTTCCTTCTCTAAACTTAGTTGCTAAATTATTGCACCTAATATCAATATTAATTATAACTGAGCCAGGTGAGGTGGCATATGCCTGTAACCCCAACACTCAGGAGGCTGAGGCAGGAAGATGGAGAGCTTGAGGTCATCCAGGGCTACATAATGAAATCCCCCCAAGACAGTAATTCACAGCTAGCATTTATGAGCACTTACTAGGAGCCAGAGTTTACTTTAAGCACTTCACATACACAGACTCCTTCAATCATCATAACAACACCACGAAGTCTTCATTTTACAGTTGCGGAAGCTAAGGCAGACAGCTTACGTCATTGTCTAAGGACCCACTGTCTCCCCACCAGCATCCTGGAATTCACATCATGGATGCTTGTTCCCAGGCCCTGCTTCTTTGTGTTCTTTAAAAGCAAAAATGTCTCATAGAATGCACCCAGGAGTACGGTGACACAAACTGCAAATACCCCTCACGGAGCACAAGGCGCTCCTGGAGTTGCTGTTAATTGCTGTGTAGCGTCCTGCACACGACAGCTCCTGTGACAAATTCCTCAGAAGCTCAGAGCTAAGGGAAAGGGGTCCTTTTGCATTCTGGTTTCCTTACTTTGTTGAACCATGATAGCTAAGGAATTGGTCAAGTTCCTTTCTCTGCTTTGGCTGCCGGGAAGCTCAGAGGTACATTTTATGTCTATTTCAGCAGTTTCTGCTAACCCTGATTTTTCTCCCACTTTGTTGAATTTACTCTCTTTTTATCGGTCTTTATGCCTCAGACCTATGCTTTCACTCTGTTTTTCCATCCATGTGCCAGACTCATTTGTTCATGATAAGATACCTCAAAGCTTTTCCCAAGAATGTAGGGTTCAAATGTTGTGATTTTTAAAAAGCAGTCTCTCTCACCCTGTCGAGGAACAAGTGTCCAGTCATATGAGCTTCCACCCCCACACTGACGTCCCTTTCCTCTCTCTAGACACACCGGCAAGTTACTGTCTCCCCCACAAAAAGCCTCTGTGCTCTTGGGTCAGTGCCCTGAGATCCCAGGCTGGGTGTTTGTGGACTGCCCCAGTCACGTGACATCCAGGCCCATTCCACCAAGAATAAAGGGGGAACTGAATCCTATCTCTACTTCTGCCTTTTAAAAAATCATGCTCCCCAAAATTCTTTCTTGAGCATACTCCAACCATCCAAAGAGATGGTGTTGAGTTTTAGTTTCTGATGGGTTATTTCCAAAATAATGTGAATTTAAGTACATTGGGTATGCCCTGTCAACTCCCAGTCTTCTTCTCAGCCCCGATTCTCGTACTTCCCTAGGTGCTATGGTCCCGTAGCATGTAATAATTTTAATGCACAGTATTGAGTCCCCTTTCCTCTGAGAGCACAGCCCGGTTTTCCTCTGAGAGTGGCCCTGTCTCCATTTGATGCATTCTGAGGACTGCCAGGGAAGTCCTCGGTGAACTTCTGCCTGTCCTAGACACAGCTCAGCCGGTTGCCCTCTTACTGGAAGGTGACTTTTGAGCACCATGTCCCAGGGAATAAGCACGGTTCCTGAACACAGGAATGCCCTTTATGCTGCCATGTACCTGGCACTGTCCTCTGCCTGGTCCGTTTGTGGCTCAGCTTCTAGTTTAGTTGCCTGAAACTTCCGAATCAAAACTTCTTCTGCTTCTGATGGTGAAGTCTGATTCTGTTGCTTATAACTCCAAAACCCTAACAGATACACGATTTCCCCTCCCCCCCTCCACACACTAAGAATGAAGGAGGACCTGGTCTCTTTTTACCTCAAGTGAGAGTTCAAAGTACAGGACATCGAAGTCAAGATTTAGGAGAAGACGAAAGAAAAACCCAAAGGCTAGAGAAAGAGGGATGTTCAATTTTGTGGTAGACTAAATTATTTTCCAACAGTACTCACTCCCCCACCAGTCTCAATGGAGAAATGTGCTTCCCCAGTCCATTCGTGTTGACCTTGCCCACGTGATTTGCCTTGGCCAATGGATGTGGTACGAGAGTGTGCCAGTTCTGAACATAGAGCCCTCTGTGTTCCTGCTTATCTCTACAGGAGACTTCCATCTCCCCCATGAGACAGACACGTTGTAGGAAGAATGAGTGAATGAACAAGACATGGGGCCAACCTGGACCCAACTCACAGCCTGGAGCCAGGCTCAGTCTGCAGAAGCGGAACCCTAGTGCAATGGTTGAGGATAAGTGTCCCCTAAAGGCCCATGTGTTAAAGGCTGTGTCACCAGTCTGTGGCACTATTTGGAGGTGTTGGTGACTCTAAGAGGTGGAGCTAGTGGGAGGAAATCAGGTTGCTGGGAACGCCAGCCCCTTTCTCTTTCTCCCTCTGCTTCCCAGCCACCCTGGGGTGAACAGCTTCCTCCACACTTGCTTCTGCTATGATGTGCTGCCTAAAAGCAACAGTGCCAACCAAACCTGGACTGAAACCTCCAAAACTGTGAGCCTTTCCTCTTCTTAAGTTGATTATTTCAGGTATCTGGACAGCAGCAGAGAGCTGAATGGAGATGTATGAATAAGAAATCAAGGCTTTCCCTGAGGTTCTAAGATGTTCCCTTTGTTAGGCAGCATTCTACGACCTTTCAAGCCCAACAGTGTTAGGATTCATGCAGCCTAGGGAGGACAGGGGTTGCCTACCTGCCACTTTGACCTGGTTGGGAGCACAGGCTTTGCAGGGGAGCACCTGGAACTCCTCCGCCTGGTACATGGAGTAGTCAGTACTGGCGATGACCACTGTGTCCCCAGGCTTCCATGATTGCACATTGTCCTCCAGACTCAAGATGGTGCTGTTCACGTTGGTGTCAATGGTGACCGTGAGCTTGGGCCTCACTGTAACCCAAGACAGGAAGAACTGAGATCCAGCCCTTTGCCCTCTGCAAACTTCTGGCTGTCCACCTCTTCCTTTCCCTCCCTAAAAACGCAAATGTCAGGTTTGCCTATCCAAAACCCAAATCACCAGGCTTGCTCCATCCCAGTTTTGGTACATACAGGTTTTTGAAGTCAACAAAAAACCTGACCAAAAAAGAGCCATTCATTAGGTCTGGGCAGGGGAATTTTCCACTAACTTCTCAGTGGAGTTAAATGTGCCTGCCCCGCCACACCCTCTTTGCTCAAGATGTAAAACAAATATAGCTTCTCTCAACTATTACTTACAGTAGCCATAAACCTCTCCCTCTGCAGAAGTCCCATCCCTAATGACTGCCTTCTGGAGATGGCTGATTGCCTCCTAGAACAAACCAGCCGTTTCCAGCCCCTTCTAAGGAGAGACACTCAGGAAACTGGTCTGAAACAATAGCAACCCAAGAAGCAAAGTGCTTCACCTCTCTGTAGGGGAGTCTGGAGGGTCAGCTCTGCTCATCTGCACCCTGGTGCTCCTGGACCAGCCCCTCCCCTTCCAGAAAGGCTAAGGGTCGCTCCTTGACACACTGGTACTCTACCCAGCCACCCAGATCAGAACGCACAGCTGGCAGCAACTCAAGGAGCCACGGCTGCAGTTCTGACCCAAGGAGGAGACAGGCGGCTTACCAGGCTTCCCACAGAGGAACCGCACACGGTAGCTCTGGCAGGCACGACCCTGGTCGTAGCAAGCAAACCTATAATCCTGGCCCTTCTTGTAGACAACTTCAGTGCTGAGGTTAACTCCATCCATTGTCGTGGCCTGTGAATGGCACAGATATTAGAGAGCAAAGTCTTTTTCTTTTTTAATAAGAAGGAGGGTGATGATGAATGTTCTCAACATACACTTGTAAGCCTAAAACTGTCACTGGTGCAACAATATTTGCTACAGCCCAGGATTATTGTCTCACCACTTGTCCACATGCTTTGTTGTAAGAAAGACAGCATAAAGTCTCAGAATGAATACATGTGTCAGTCCTACATATTTGATATGCACACCAGTGACTTAAAACTTTCTGCTCCTCACTGGATGAACATTAATGGAGGATTATAACAGAGCAGGCTCTGTTAGGATCTGAGTCTGCTGCTTCTTACAGCTTTTACCACCCCCCAGCACCACACTCAGTCAGGGGCTGACATTTATTTACCAAGGAGCCTAGACAGGCTCATCCCTTAAAAATTGCTTGTGCTTGGCTCCATCCTCAGAGGCTCAGATTTGATCAAGTCTGGGCAGCAGCCTGCCATCAGGACTCTTAAAAGTTGATTCTAATGGTTGGTAAAGTTTGAGAACCACTTGTGTAGTAAGGGAGTTCAATGTTTACACATGCGTCATTTCATCTTCATTTTGCTTTGATAGCAAAACTATGAGTTGTCATTAGAAGTAAAGAAAATGACACTCAGAAACACTGAGTAACTTGCCCAGGATAACAAAGCTAGTACAGGGCAGAGCTAAAATTTGAGCCTAGACTTCTTGAACTGTGAAACTGGGGCTCCTAAGCCCTACCCAATCCTTCGCACAGATGCTTACAGCCTAATGTCCTTTGTTCAAGTGTCTGCCCCCTCCCAATGCATTCCTGAGCTCTGGGAGGGCAAGGAACAGGTTTTTGTCCACTTCCCTGTCCCCAGCATCCAGTGCAGGGCCAGGAACAGAGTGAGGTCTCAGTCCATGGGGGCTTCTGTGCAGGAAGCTACAAGACCAGGCAGAGAATTTAGGGAGTCCTCTGAAGGAGGACGCCATCTCTGCTAGCTGGGGCTCACCCCAAAGCCAGGGTGTGTCTGCATTAAGACTGGGACTATCATTCAGAGACATGCAATTTAGAGCAAGGGTTACAGCTATTGTAGAACTGGCACAGAAACCAAAGGGACCAGTAGAAGTAGGGAGGCAAAGTACAGCCAACCTTGAGGAGAGAGAAGGAGGGAGAGTGAGACATCTTAGGTGTTTTGAACCCAACAGACCTGTCGTTTTTTGCTTAAAAGAAAAGTCACATAGATGTGAAGAATCAAAATTCATAGCTAAAATTCAAGCAACACGTGCACACATTATCGTGGGTGGTCCCTACAGCAGCAGACGGACAAGGATACTACACTTGCTCTTACAGGAAACTCTTGAGGCCCAGAGAGGTTCAGACCCAAGCTCAAGGTCATCTGACCTGATGAGCTCCTGAAGCTCGTGTGTTCCTCACCGGGACACCCCATAACCCTGAGAACTGGGCCTGGACCTTCCTCAAGGCACAGCGTGCAGCAATAATTTCAAGGGAATGTCTGCTTAATCGTGCTGCTTTCTGTGTTCTCCTGTTTCTAACCTGAAGACTGACCTCAGTATTAGATAAGAAGACTTATCAATAGCTGTTCAGTGAGATGGATTTCATTTTAGGTGGACAGAAGGTTATTGCTCATAATAGAAATAAGATAATCATAGTATTGTAATTAATAATAAATCAAAATAATTTTTAACAAAAATGTTTATGGTGCTTACTGTGGTTCAGGCATTTCATGTATTGTCACATTAAATCCAAAAGAAATCCCATGAGGGGAGCATTACTTCTCCTGTTTTTGCAGGTGAGCACACTGAGGCTCTCAGTTAAACAACTCAACTGATATCTGTGACCAAGACAGAATTTAAGATGGCACTCATTTCTTCAGGGATTCAGAAGAAGGGTGGAAGAGCTGTGGGGCCTCTGGGGATGTGGAAGGTGCCTGTGACCACAGGAAACTGACGGTTTCATTTCCACCTCACCGATAGGTTATCTGATTCAGACATTTAGCTGGACACTTCTGAAAAGAATGGCTTCTTGCTTCTCTCCCTCCCATGTATGTGGAACAAGGCTGGCTTTGCTTTTCCAGCCTCTGAAACACCTGCAGTACCTTCCCATCACCAATGTTACTTTTGTGAGCACGAAGAGATGCTATGGCTAAGCCTGGGGACCGCTAGTGATTCGGATGATAAGGAGCCAGGTGCACCTGACATCTCAGGAGTTAGCACCTCCTCTTTGGCACGAGAGATGGGGCTGGAACTCACCTTTGGGACACAATGACTCAGGGTGTTAATTGGCCACCTCAAGGGGCTCTGACTGTGCCAAGGAAATGTCAAGCTCTTATTCTGGAATTGGGCATTTTGAACTACTGAGGAGTTCAGCAAAACTCCCAGTTTTGGGGGAGTTTTTAAAAAATGCTCTCTCTGAGAAAGGCAGGCCCAAGATGTAGGGTAAGGGGACACTGATGTTGGGTCTTTTATTCTTCTCTGGACCATGGATGACTGAGAACTTGAACTCATTGTCCCAGCTACTTGTTTTGTTGAAGGAAACTGAGCCCTGTGTTCTGGCTGCAGACAGTGGTTATAAAGTGTAGAATGAGTCCCCATGGAAGATCATGGCTTGTAGGCTCTCAGCCTAGGTTTAGCTGTGTTTGGGGACTCTTGGGGGGAAGGTACAGTGTCCATTCCAGGAGCAGAGAGAGAGAGAGAGAGAGAGAGAGGAAGCGTGGGAAACGCCTCAGGAAGGCTGTTTTCCTGGTACAGCAAGGTAATCCTTCCACAGCAACGCATTGGAGCCAGACGCCTGGCAGAGTGAGTGCAGAGGGATTTGTAGCCCATATGAGCATTCCTAAAGGATTTCCAGAGGCATTCAGAGAGGGGAGGCTGGTAAAGGACCTGGCTTCCTGTGGGCAAGTGAACCAAAGAGATAAAATTTTGGCTATTTCAGAATTAAAGCTGGAATGTACAAGGTCACAAGACAAAAATCACAATTAAATCCAAGAAGCAGGAAGTATGTGCTTTGGGGGAGTCAGTGCTTCTGGATTCTGTTGGACCCCAGAAGAATCTGCATCTTACAAGAAAATCTGAGTAAACCCTTCTCAATTACATTGGGGCCATGGGAAGGGAAGATCCCCAGCCAAGCAGTAAGAAAATTATCCCTGGCCTTCGCTAGGTTCAGAACAGAGTGTCCCCCTGGACAAGTGGTCCCTTGCCAGTGCAGAGCCAAAGCTCTGATTGGAAACACTCAGATGACCTGCCATGTGGCTTGGGAGACAGTGTTGTAGCAGTGTCTGTCCCTGCAGTTGAACTTGTATCCTTGGGGGGAGTGGTGCCAGAATCCCTAGGATACCAAAATCTGCCCATGCAAAGGTCCCTTATGTAAACAGCATAGTATTTATCATTACGCCGATCCTCCCATCTACTTTAAATACCTCTGCATTACTTATAATGCCTGATACCGTGTAAATGCTACCTAAATAGTTGTACTATATTGTTTGAGGAATATTGACAAGAAAGAAAAATCTAAACATGCTTAGTATAAATTCACTTTGTGAATATTTTTGAAGTGCTGGGGATTGAACCCAGCACCTCACACATGCTAAGCAAGTGCTCCATCATTGAGCTACATCCCTGCCCCCATCTTCCTAATATTTTTGATCCTCAGTTGGTTGAATCCATGGGTGCAAAACCTATGCATACAGAGGAGCAACTATGACTTCTAATTCCTTATCAAGCATTTAGGTGGCCTTAGATCTTGCTTTGGAACAGGACTGGGCATAAGGAAATAAGTCGCATTACTTTCCTATGTCTCCTGTTTCTCCTGCTGTCCCTGGCATCCTATGTTTCTCATGCAGGGTTGGGGAATTGGAGCCTCTGTTCCCTGTGCAGGGATGAATTGGAAACCCGAATCCCTCATACAGGGCTGGTTGGGTTGGAGCCCCGTGTTCTGCATGGTGAATTGCAACATCTGGGCATCACTTCAACACTGTCCTGATGGGCCACCGAGCAGGTCCAGCTCTCCCTTGAGTAGAGTGAATGAGTGGTGGCCCTCTCTGAGCAAACACTGTCCATTCTTTGAATGGTGGCTTTCATTTAGCTTGTGTTCTCTCTCTGGGGTGGGCTCAGCCTGGCCCCCAAAATCATAGCAGAATCCTATCCACTCAAAGACCCAAAGGAAATCAATCAATGCAAGTCACACATGTCCCTGCAGCTGCTCCCATCTCAACCATGGCTGAAGCAGTAGGTAAGATGAAGGAGAAGAAAGCCTTATTTTTTGAAAGCGGGATCATCAGGAGAGAATTTAGTCTCATCCTTGAGGTAGAAAATGAGCCTCTCTTCAGTCTCTAAGGTGGGAATGGTACTTTCTGTCTTACCTGTCTCTCAGGAGGATCATAAGAGTCACATCACCCGGGTGATAAGAAAACTATGATCCATAGAGTCTTCTTTACAGTAAAGCCTCCCTAACTATTTGGTTGGTGTGAGTTGGGTACCTGGATGTCAATGGGACGAGTGCAGATTTTTCCTGGGTGAGCTACCCGGAGGTCTGAAATTTTCTCCCCGCCTTTAGTCTGAGGCACTTTGTCATGGTCGAACCACTCTGTCCATTCCACGTCTAGGCAGAAAGCAAAGAAAGGGTCAATCAGGAAGCTGTTCATGAGGCCCAGTTATGCCCAGTGTGGCTGCCAGAACCCTCATCTCAATGGGAATTGAGCGCCATCTATCCACGGTGGTGCCAGGCTTGCTGAGGGGTGTCTAAACAAACTGTCAACTCCCCCACATTCCCCACCTTTTAATAAAAACACCTCTTATTAACTTTCTGGTTTTGTAAAGGCAAAATATATTACTTGGCATTGCAAAAGCAAACAAAGGAAAAGGAGAAAAAAATCCATCTGCAGACTGCCCCTGGTGCTGCTGCTTCTCAGCCCTGTCAGGTGCTAAGCTCAATTCTTTCCTCACAGGGCCATTGCCTGGCATATAAAAGACACTCCAAGAACTAAGCTAAATGCCTTGGACCCCTACTGAGATAAAGTTCAATCCTAATCTTTTGGGGCAATTTGCCAATGTGGCTTGATAAGTTAAAAACCTCGGTTGCAGCCTCTGCACCATGAAGAGTTCCTATGTGTAAGAGAAAACCCTTGTTCTATAAAGATGATGATTCCTGTCTTTGATCAGGTTTTACCAGGTGGTCTCAAACTCCTCACCTTGGACCCACTCACTGGATGAAGAGACGTTGAAATGTTCTCCGTGTTCTGTCTGGAACAGTTTGAAAACACGGGCGGCGGCAGAACCTCTGTGTCCTGTCAGAGAGATGGATGCTTTAGCAACCAGACAGACCCCAAATTCCTAAAGTTGGGCTTCCAAAGCAGAGAAAGCCTGCTACACCCATGGATCTTGAACCATTTCAGAAAACAATTTTCTTTAGCAGAGGGCAGGCTACTCCCCCCATTTTTGTTTGAACTTTCAGCTTTGAAAGTTCAGGTGTAACCTTCCAACAAATTCATCACCTATCATGAGCTGAGCGCTCCTCCCCAGGTTAGACCAGCAGAGCCTCCCACAGCCTTCGCTGGGCAGTGGCTGTCACCCCCATATGACAAAGGCTCTCTACAGGTCTCTAACTCAAAATATCACTCCTGGGACTGCCTCTCAACTCCGAGCTTTCCTGTGCTATATCTGTGTTTCAAAATAAGTCAATGACGACTCCTTTGCAAATGTACATGTAATGGTGAGTGACTGACTCCATCGGTGTGGATCTTTGCCACTTTTGCGTAACGTGGCCAGTGAAGCAACTGGACCCTCTGCCAAGTGCTGGCATTGTCTGTCAAGACCCAAGAGCTTGTTGGTTACAGCGTCACTGAAGGAATCAGGCCTCTTGCCGTCACTTATTACCATGATATTCAATGTGGTCTTCCACAGAAGAAGAGGGATCTCCTTTCACAGTGAGAAAACTCCAAGGGTGCCTGAAATAAACAACAAGTAAAATCCTTCAGGTGTTTGAACCCACACCAGGGCAGGGTTGAGCCAGCATCAAGTGATTGGGCCTCCCTCCCTGCCATGGTGGGGGTGGGGGTGGTGGTAAATTCATTCACCAGTGGCCTCTCTTCTCTAAAGAAACAAGAGTCTTTCTTTGCAGGCACTGGTTCAGGATTCCTGGCTGCCCGGCTAGCCTGGCGTCTGCAGACTGTGAGCCTCTTAACTCCGTGGTGGCAGTGTTTGGGAATGAATCACAAATAAACAAACAGGCCAACAGCCTGGCCATAACACCCGCCAAGCTCAATTAGGCCCTGAAGCAAGAACCATAGGCAAGTGCGATCCAAGAGAGGAAGGTTACATCTCATGCCTATCACCCCTAAGAGTTGATCTCGAGGAAAATGCCACGGGCTAATGACTGACCGCTTCCATCCTTTGAAAAGCAGGAAATGTCTCTTCCTTGGAATGGGGATGGAGGGTAAAAAGGGTTATGACTTTGGAAAGCTGCACACCCATCTGCCCTCTACTAAACAGTGCACTGCCATGGGGCAGAAAGATTTTCTAATGCTTTTGTCTTCTCCATCATGCCTACTGCAGTTCAGAACAGGTCCCAGCACACAGCACCTTGAAATTCTAAGCTGAAGGAATTTACGAAATGGCAGGACTAACTCTCTGACTGTCCCTACCCTTTTTCCCTGAAGCAGATCCTAATCCCTGTATGTGGGAAGTGCCCCCCTAGACCCAGGAAGGAGGGATGCAGGAAGAATCTGGACAGACAGGCAGCCTCCCTACATTGTGACTCTCCACCTTTCATCAAAACCTAGTATGAGATGCTAGGTCTTCTAGTCCTTACAAAGGCTCACATCATATAAAGCTTATAATATTAAAGAACTCTGTTTTTCTCTTGTATATCAGTCTTTTTGTTAAAGGAGTCCTAGATAAGGACTTAGGCAAAGACAAGGTATTTTTTCCTCTCTATGGTAACCTATCTCTTACTATGAGATGCAAAATACCCGAGAAGCTTTTGTGATTTTTGTTTGGATCTTTTGTCTTGGAGAATAAGTCATTGAATGGTGTTTAATTGGGGTTGAAGATTCAGCAATGACACTCTCTCACTTAAAATCCCTTAATGGCTCCCCATTTCCCTTGGGATAAAAACCAAGCTCCTTAACACTGAGCCAAGACCCTCTGGTGCCTTCCCAGCCTCATTCTCATCCCTTTCCCTGGCACATATAATGTAATTCCTTCTTTAGGAGAGCCACGCTTTGGCCCTAGGCCTCTCTGTGGGCCCTACATGGCCTCCTCCCACCTGCAAGTCTGCACCACACTCCACTTGCTCACTGTGTTGCCCTCTCATGCTCCACAGTCCCCACAAATCTATGTCTTCTCACCCAACCTTGACATGCCTGGTCCAGCCCAGTGCCTCCCAGCAATATCTGCTTGATAATTGCTTCCTAAGCCTCAGGACCTCCACTGATTTTTAGATGCCCTGACCTTGTTACTCGAAGTGTGGCCCCAAACAAAGGAGGGATGAATGTGCATTTTCTGCCTGCCCATCCTCTTACCCACATGGATGGCCATGATGAAACATGGCAGCACCCATCCTTCCCATGGCTCTTGTTTATAAGAAGATGATAGTTGCTATTAGTTATTGAGCACTTATTCTGTGTCAGGCAGGATGACAAATATTTTGCTCATATCGTCATGTGGAATCCTCTAGGAGTGTTTTGAGATCGCTCTGAAGATACCTCATAGAGCAAAGAGGATGGGTCACATGCCTGTGCTTACCTCTAGGAGGCACACCCCAGACTCAACTCCAGGCAGACAGATGCCAGAAATTGGACTCTTATCCACCATTGCTGTCTTCTGCCAAGGTCCTGAGTAGCCAGTTCCCTCTCATAGTAAATTAATAAACTGGCCTTTTGGTTTATAAAATAATGAAGTAGATGTGCGCTTGGTGTTTGCTAATAAAGGAAACATGTAAAGCCAAGGTACCATTGTTATGGTCGGCTCCTTATGTTTTCTGCCTGGGTTTCCCTTCCAGAAGGAGCAGCACTTGGGCTGTCAGAAAACTCACCTTGCAGCCTGGACCTTCCTTCCCTCACCCAGGGAATCTCTGCCCAGCCAGTTAAACTGCTTTTCCCTGAGAAAAGCTCTCCAAAGAAAGGATATCAAAGTCTCCAAACAGCCACAACAGATGACTTTGACTTTCCACAGAGCTAAGAGCTGACTCAGCAGGATGAAAAGGTGTAGCTATGTGATACAAACAGCTTCCCCTTGGTGCCACTAAGTGTGCATGGCCACACCAAGCATGGTGCCATCATACAAGACACACTGGAACTACCAAGGGCCCCTTCATGGTAGGACGTTGGCTGGGTATCACTACATCCAACACGATGTCTGCCCATGCCCAAGGCAGGGCACGGACCTTTTGCCGAAGGAAGGGAAGAAGAGCATTAGCTGTGTATCTGAGGCATGGCTCTTACACTTAGTATTTTGCAGGTGGCTGGCTGAATAGACAAGTCCATATAAAGACCTTTTGCATTTTAAGAATGGGATGCACTTGTAAGAAAAACCAGGTAGGCTTTAAGCTCCAAATATGTCCAATGCAACCCCCTGTGTCATTAGGGTAGTGTGGCCCTGAGATGTGAGAAAGGGAAGGCTAATTCTGGAGGGATAGGGGTTTTTCTGTGTTCCAGAGCCTGGTGGAGGGGAAGGGATGAACAGGCAGTACCTAAATCCAAGGTGTAGGAAGTGTTTGCTGCCCAGTTTTGGTCATTGCCTTCCGAGCCACGTCATCTAGGTTTCGAGAACCTTCATCGTTCACTGCTACAGAAAGGATCCTGCCATCAGGCACCGCGTTCAAATACTGGACCAGACGCTCGCTCTCCTTCTTGGATCTATAGGTGTCGAATCTGAAAAGGGCAGAGAAGCAGGCTCTGGGTAGTCTTGGCAGCAGTCAAAAAAAGAAATATGCCATCCAAAGATGGCAAAGGCTGGGATTTTTAAGCGAAGAAGTCTTTAGAGAACAATATGTTTAATTATTTTTACATATCATACAGTAATATCCAAGAAGGAGGGATTTGACTTGACTGTAATGATCATTCACTGAGTAAAATCCAAAGACGTTATTGTAGTAGTAGAGACCTCAGGCTCTGGAACGGACATTGACCAAGTCGCTTACTTGGGGCTCTGAGACAGACATTGACCAAGTCACATACTACTTGGGGCTCGGGCCTTTGATGCCTCCCTTTGTCCAGGCTGTAGTGGCTCATATATCTTACAAGAGCCCAACTTTAGGACGTAACCCAGACAACAAAGAGCATGAGTGGTTTCTACCTCTAATCCAGACTGAAACGACTCCTCCAAAGTTCTTGGAAATGGCATGGAGACTGTCCCAGCTCACGTCTCCTACCTGGATCACCCTTCTTACAGCCAGGCATTTTAGAACGATTAGAATATGTCCATTTCTCCTTCACGCGGTAACAGTGACGTGATCCTTCACCATTGTAAATACTGTTGCATTCCTGGTTTTCCCTGTTTATCCTTTTTAAAAAATACTTTATTGAGGTAGGCTCTCTTCACGGTGAAATTGATCCTTTTAACAAAATTTTAAGTGTACAAAACATTTTGGCTGGCTATAGGTATAATGTTCTACAGCAGTCCTTTCTGGGAAGAGCTGATTGTCTATAACTATGGTTTTTTGAGGGGTGGATAGGGTCTCACTAATGTTGCCCAGGCTGCTTTAACTTCTGGGCTCAAGCAATCCTCTTGTTCCAGTCTCTCAGGTAGCTGGGACAACAAGCGTCTGCCACAATACCTGGCTGAGAACTAAGCATCTCAAACTGGACAAAGATAACTCTCCCTCATGCACATAGAATACATATGAAATAGAGATTTCAAAAAAAGTACACAGTGGTGAGAAGAACTTACAAAGGAAAGATAAATCTGTTACAATCCCACCTCCAAATAAAGATTTTGTGCAATTACAATGGATGAATTTGTCTTGCAAGTTAACATGCAAAATAGTTCTAAAATGAATCTAGAAAAATAAGCCAAGACTTTGAAAAAGAAAAACAAAATGGTAGCTGGAGAGGAGTTGTCAAACTTGTTTTCAGCTATTTGCATAACCTGGTCCAAGGTGCTCAGTCTCCCCCACCTTCTCTGCCCCTCCCTGATCATCTGCCCCAGGCTAGCACTTCTCAGAGACCCAGGACCACACCACATGCCCACTCCTGTCTTCACTCATTCCGCCCTGCCTTTTTGCTGCCGAATCAAAGCCTCACTACTTTCAAGAGCCAACGTGAAAGTAGTTGCCTCCTCCTTCAGGTCACCTGCTGGGTACTTCAGCCTGCCTTCATGCTTGTGTGGGCATGACCATCTTCACTCACACATTCGGCTATGATCCTTGAGGTTTCCAGCATCCTTCTAGCAATGGAGACCTGGCGCTGGCAGCATTCTGTCTTTGTAGCCTCCACAGTGCTATCCAGATAACGTCTTATTACCTGGCCCAGTCATGATTAAACGCTAAGCTGCGCTGCTGCAAGTAATAGCATGGCACTGACTTGAGAAGCAGCCCCAAGGAATCAGCAAGCGGTTGAGAAGACTGTCCTCTCCTGATGAAGGCAGGGCTCTCTGCCACACTTTGTGCCCGTTGTGCTCATCCTGACCCCACTGTGGGCCCAGGCCAAGGCAGATGGCTGTCACCAGGGAGCCATGGTTAAGGGTCCAGGCAGATCTGGATTTGAAGCTCAATTCTAATCCTTACAAACCTGTGACACTGAGCAAGTTGAGTCCCACTGAGTCCAATGTCGCCATCCGTGTAATGTGGATGATAACAAAGCCAGTTCAGAATTTTTATGGCGATTAAAGCACACATGGCAACAGACTGGCAGACATTGCACACAGAAGGTCTAGTGTTGTGCTTTTCACTGCTCTTTTGCCAGCAAGCACTTCAGCTCCTGGCCAATTGCCCCTGACCACAGTTGGTCTCAGTGGCCTTCTTGTCCACTCTCACGGCTGTGCCCTAAGCGTTGGAGTTCTGTGTCTCCCTAATGGCACCAGTAGAGCTCCAATGCTGCCTGTCACCCTCTGATGCTGGCTGTCTGGGGTCAGAGCCTACCAACTGACCCCAGAGCTAAGGAAGTTGATGAGAGGGGAGAGAGTGGGAGACCTGCACCCTCTGCCTTCCAAATCTCTCTCAAGTTCATCTACTTCTAACTCCATTCCTTCCACAAGAGGCCTCATTACTGCTGCCATCACTCACCTAGACCAGCACAAAAGATTCCTAACCACAAATGTGGGCTTCCCTCTTACCCTCCAGCATCAACCCATTTTCCATGCTGCAGCCAGAATGTTCTTTCAAATCAGCTCACTCCCTTCTTAGAGCCCTTCAGTGGCTTTGATTCCCACTCAGAATAAAACCCACATGCATACTGGGGCCTTCAAGGTCTGGCACCTGCCGCACCTGTAACTCTGACATCGGTGCCTACCGCTCTTCCGTCTCTTACTGCACACGTGTCTAACTGGTCGACTTCCTGTGCTCTGAGAATGTCATGCCCTGAACACCGCTGGCCCCCTGCATGTTGCTGCTGTCTCTTTATCTGACACAGCCTCACCCTGTCATTCTCAGAGCAAAGACTTCCCTGACCTCCTATTCCAAGCGGCCTCCCCTCGTTACTTCGCTGTGTCTTTTCTCTCCTACCGGTTACCCCTATTTGAACCTTTAGCATGCGTGCGTGATTGTCAGCCGTGTGAGGCAAAAGCCTGGGGAACGATGGGACAGTCTGGGGCAGGTGATGCCATCTGGGGGAAGCCACCTATTTCATTTTGGCACAACCAGCACCTATTCATTCACCCTATGCTGAATGAATGAGCACAGGTGTCAATGAAGGTCAACCTTACCTGTCAGAGTGGATGACTGTGCCTGATTTGGGGTCGATGACGTGAACAATGACACCACGATGGCCCCAGCTCCTTTCAAAAAAATAGCCTCCCTCCATCATGCCCCCTGGGTGGAGGGTCTTGTTCAGAAACGTCCAGGAGAGCTTTTTCTGTCCATGCAACTCGAGTGTGCCTCCCCTCCCAACACCAATGTACTTCAGGCCATAGTAAGGGTCTGGCTGAGCACCTTCATCAGCCCTGCAAGAGAAAAGCTTTCCTAAGTTGGCCAACTCATCCCTTCACTGAACCCACAGAGAACCACCCCCACTCTCTGACTGGTAAGGCGGCACCATAGCACGGCAGCCATGCCTTGGGTAATGGCAGAAGGTCAGGAAGGAAGCATGAGCCAGCTGACTCCTAAGACAGACCATTGGGGGCTCAAAGGCCAGCAGAGGTGCTTAGTTGACGTGCTGCTGCTGCTTCTTAGTTCTAAGTGTTGTGGAGGCAGCTGGACCTGCACTGCACGCATTCTTGGCTATCATTCCTAGAGGGCTCAAGTACTTGAATAGGGACACCGCCAGAGGCAAATACAGTGTGGGATTTTCTGTATGTTGTCCATCATAACTTATTAAATAACCACCTGCAGAGCCTCCCCAAACTATGGTATGATTGGAGGGCAGCTAAGTGGCTGGCAGGGGCTTCTGTAACACAAGGACACAACCCCAGACAGATTTAGTGGACCAGTCTGGCTCACTCCAGTCACCATGTTCATCTTGTTCATGATTACAGTGAGAATGACAGTTCCTGTCTTACTCCAGTGTTTTGCCCTCTTGCCTCCCTCTCTCCTCTGGAAATCATCCCTCCCATCTGATCCAAGAGTAGCATTTGACCCCGGGGATGGTCTTCCCACCTTCCATACAACACGATGCTGAAATTGCCCTGGAAAGGACAGAGGGCACTCCCAGCATGCAGTTCCCCTCCGCTGTCAATCAGGATGTGTCTCGTGCGCAAAACAATGGGCTCATGGTGATCTTTAATGACCAGCTTGCCTGAAGAGGTAAGAATGGGAGAAAGTTAAGGGTAAGGTGATAGGAAACCCAAGGACAGACTCCCTAAGTCCCAGGTCTCATTTAGGCAGGCAACTTCCAAATATTTCTGTGCTTGCAGTTTTGCAAGTAATTACTTTTCTCCACCCACTGTTTTGCAAAGTATAAATAGTGCCCACCTGGGTTACTGTATTCACTGACCAAGCTGCTGAAGGTAATAGAAGCAGGGCTGCTCAGAGCACCAACAACAGTTTCCTTTACAAATGCTGCTTTTACTAAGATTGAATCTTCATCAGCTCATTCCTAAGTGCTCCATGTTGGTTGTTATCTCAAAAACACATGCTCTGACATAAACCCAAAGGATGAAATATTTATTCTGTCCATCTGAAGTCATGGTGACCTGCACCATTGTAGGGCTCTGGGGTGGCGAGATTGGCTTACCTCCCTCTGAGATGTCAATGGAGTAGACGGTGGCAGAAGAGGTGAGCAGCAGCTTCTTGCCCTGGCTGATGTGCACACGGTGGTTCTGGTCATGACCAGGGCTCCAGGGTTGCAGCTCGGGTTCCTGGTCAGGGCACTCAGACGTCACTGCTAAAGACAATGAGATGTCACTTGCTCTCATCCACCTGCATCACCAAGCAAGGATTGATTGTATACTTCAGCTAAAAGCAAGACCTTAGAGATCAGAGAGACCCACTATCTAGGAGGCAGGAGGCCCAGGGTCCAGCCCATGTCTTTAATTACTCTGATTGACAGTGGAGGGGAGCTGCACGGACAGGTCATATCTCTTTTCTGGGTATAGTTTCCCTTTTATAAGATGAAGGGTAGACCAGATGACCACTCAGGACATCCTAAGTTTTGAAGTGTTTTTTTTTGTTGTTGTTGTTGTTTTTCTAGATAACTTGGATTCCCTGCTATTCTGTCCTCTGGAAAGCAGAGTTTGAAGTGTTAACAAAACACTTTCCCCCTTTGCATGAAAATTTGACCTTTGGTTAGTTTCCTAGATCTGTTCCCCTGGAAACCTGAGAAAAATGTTACTGCATAACTGTTACCAAGCAACATTGCTTAAAACAAAAGTGGCCATGGTTGGTAAATGGCCTTAATCTGGAGGCACAACAAATACTTTATTTTTATGCCTGGTAGAGATGTCATGCTTTACTCTTCCTTGAGTGCAGTGAGTCTTAGCACTGGACGTGCCCCCTGCAGGGACCCTGAGTGACATGTGCACAGTTGCAGTAATAGATCATGGTTATCATGGGGCATGAGGCCATGATCCAGGGCAGTGTCCACACTTTTCCAATGCTAGCCTTGTTTCCTCAACCCCGAGCTGTCATTTGAGGGACCCAGGAGAACATATTCTAGGGTCTATGTGGATGGCCAGGACCATGCACATGTGCTGACAGCAGCCTGTGTTTCCCCATCCTCTGTGTTCCAGGGGAGTCTGATGGCCAGGGTGGTATGTGGTCATCTCATGAGTTTTGAGTGAGTAACTGAACCCAACAAGACTCCAGGCGGTGTGGCAGAGATGCTGCTCCCTGGTCTCCATAGAAACATAGGGAGGCACCTGCATTTCCATACAGCCAACAAGGCTGTGCTCCACTGTGGGCCATGGAGGGTGAGAGGAGGAGGAGGGCCTCTGTCCCAAGAATCACCGTGGAGAACAAGGAGAGAGAGAGGTGGGCAAATCAAGATGAGACCAGCCTGGTCAGGGATGAAGCCCCACTGTCCTCCTGGTTTTCTGTAACTGCAAGGTTTTAAAGAAGGAAATAGGAGATCTTAAAATCACCTGAGGTGGGGTAGGGGAGCAGGGAGGTGATGCCGAGGTGAGCCCACGGCAGGGTGGGGTTTCTACTTGGGCAACAAGCTCCACGGCACAGGCCCTGAGCAAGGGAGCCTGGGAGAGGCTGGTCCTCCAGCCTCGAGGGCACAGTGAACCACATCCACAACACAGGATGGGATGTGGGGGTGGGATTCTGGGTCTAGTTCACGCCTGGCATGTCAGTGCTAAATGTTACTTGACTTTTCTTTAGTTATGCCTGCGGGGGGAGGCATAACTGCCTCCAGCACCAGGCAGGAACCCGATGACCACACTGAGCCATGCTCTTTGCTCATCTGAAACAAAGTACAGAGTGGTGCTCTGGGCGGTTTCTAGGTCTGGTTTCCCCTCCCTAGTCCTGCAGCAGCCTTCCTGCGCACTCCATCTGCCTCTCTGTCAACCAGAACTCAAGCTGTGTTTCTCTTTTATTGTGAAGAAAATTTCACATTTTGTGGGGTTCCCCAAGACAACTCTTCCAGGAGGCTCAAGTAGTGGCAATGGGATGAGAAGATGAACGTAAGAGCAGAGTGGCTGCCTGCAAGCCACCATGATGGCCTGGGTTTCTCTGCCCTGGTACTGAGTGGTCAAGGGTGCTGATGAGAGCTGGGCCCTGGAGCTCCTCCTTGGGCTTGTCTCCAGACAGGGCTATTCAGAGGCCCAGGCTACCTTCCACCTGTCCTGGACACAGTGCCCATCTCCAAGGAGGTGGTTTATTCCCCAGCCTTGTGGGGAACATTTGTGGTGCTTGGGGGGCCTGGTGGTCCAGGGCAGAAGCCAGGACTGCACTGGACAAAGATTTCAGGCTTCAGAGCCTCTCTGCCCGGACTATCCTGCTGCCTCTTTCAAATCCAAGTGTAAGGGTTCGCATCAGACTTTGTGTCTGGATTTGATGGCAGTGGGTCTGACCCTGCAGCTGGCCACCAGAAGAAGACCAAGTCCTGACTCTCCAGCAGCTCGGACCCCATGGCTAATGAGACAGGTCTTGGGTAGACATTTTGTACTTGGAAAGGTCCAGCAGTACTGGATCCTCACGGAGACAGATCAATGAGTGGCTGAAAAGGACCGGGGCCTTTGCTGAAATTTCACCATGGCAACCACACCGGCTTTCCCAGCCTGGGCTGCGGGAAGCAGGATTAGAAGGGATACAAACGAGAGCCATTTGGAGCATGAATGACAAGGGCTGGCTTCCACCTGCCTCTGATATCAGAAAGGAGCACAGACCAGAGGGAACCAGAGGTACAGCCTCTTTTCCAAAGGTTTATACTCAAACAACAAGAGGACTACAGGGTACAGAGGAAACACTGGAATTCTGCACCAGAGCACCTCTCCCCAAGGTAGGTCATGACCCTAAAAGATAAACCCAAACCCAGCTCCTGGCACAGAGTCAGTACCGCCTTGTGTTTATTAATTGAATAAATGACAGAAGGATAAATGAATGCATGCAGGCAATAACATCAAGTATTGCACTGAAAGTTGAAATGTTGCTTGCTTGCTATGGCCCCTGAGAACTGGAAAGACGCTACAAAAAATCAGGGTGAAGGTGTTCACTAGCTATGATGCTAAGATACTTCCTTCCATCAGTGAGTTGAGAAAAACAAAGTGCAATTCAACATAAGCTCCCTTCTTCTTATTGTAGAAAAGTATAAATATAATAATAGCATTTAAGAACAAGAGTGCTCCATGGTGACACTCTAAACACCATTCAGTAACACTACTAAACACTACTAAAACATTCAGTAACACTACTAAACACCATTCAGAATTTAAAAACTGTCCTCTGTCTCTTGCCCTCTTCTGCCTCATGGTTGGTTTATTTGATTGCTGATTCCTGTAGCTCAGGTGAAATTGCCCTATGCTTCCAGATGTTAACTTAAAATCACTCAAGGAAGCCTGGCACTGTGGCTCATGCCTGCGATCTTAGCTGCTTGGGAGGCTGAGATCAGGAGGGTCATGGTTCCAAGTCAACCCATGCAAAGCATTCATGAGACCCCATCTCCAAAATAACCAGAACAAAATGGTCTGTAGGTGTGACTCAAGTGGTACAGGACCTGCTTTGCTAGTGTGAAGCCCTGAGTTCAAACCCTAGTCCTGCCATAAATAAATAAAATCACTGAAGAAAAAATCTGATGAAACTGAGACCAATATATCTTCACCTTGCTCAGAGCATCACAGCTGAAAAGGGCTTCAGTGGCCCCAGATCTTATTACACAAAGCAGCAAGGGAGCACAGAGATGAAGTGGTTCACACAGAGGTGTACAGCTGGATCCCAGATATGTTTTTTTTTTTCTGGTCCTCTAGAGTGGTCTTTACATTTTTAATTGCTAACAATTGAGCAGTCTGGAGTTTTACATAAAAATCTAGATTTCAGATTCCTCTTAAAAATTCACAATATCCCACAACAGGCAACCCACCTTCCTACACGACAGCAATCACCCAGAACTGAGGAATGGATGTCCACTAGAGGAATCTCAACCCCTCCTTGGTGACCACAGTCCCCACTCGGCCAGCTTCACTTGTTTACGTCAGGAGCCAGGCTCTGGCAGACACTGAGTTTGCAGCCCTGATCCTAGACCAACCCATCATTTTGTGGATGGCGAGACTGAGGACAGGATGAGACTTGCCTGGGTTCAAAGAGCGGTGAAGAGAGGCTGGAGCCAGGCCATCCCAACCCTGTGCCTGTGCTCCCTTTCCTGCTCCTCCCCAGCAACGTGGGGTGATGCTTTTCCTTGCTTTCTGGAGCTCACCTGTGGATGTGGCCCCTGGGCAGCAGGCCAGGAGGAGCCAGCTGATTGTCAGTGCAGCCTTGAGAGAGGCACCCTGCTTCCCAGCAGCAAGCATCCTGCAGAGTGCACCTGAAACAGAAGTTCACTGCAGTCAGCAGGCACCTTGGGGGGCTGGGATCAGTGTGTGTGCAGCATAGATACGGAGACAGATGGAGCCACAAAACACAGAGGCAGGGGACAGAATCAGTGTGCAGGGCAGACATGGAGACAGACAGACAGACACATACACACACACACAGAGGCAAGGGACAGAATCAGTGTGCAGGGAAGACATATGGAGACAGACAGACACACACAGAGGCAGGGGTGAGGGCAGGGCCACAATAAGCACTTCATGGGCCCAGAGTCCTCATTAGCAGCTTCCTCAGCTACCATGACTCAGGCTGGACAAATACACCAGGCAGAACTTGTCACCCTCCTGCCCGTGTCCTGTAGCTCATAGTCTGAGTGCCGTATGGAATTCCACCCTTGGCACTCAAAGTCCCTTCTCTGCAGAATGAAGTGTTTTTCTTAAGAAACAGGAAAGAACAAAAATAGCCCCACTGAACACAAGTAGGGAATTAGATGCCACCAACTTGCTGTGTGATCTCAGCGGATTCCTTTAGCTTCTCTGGGCCTAGACTTCATACTCAGCCAGATGAAGATTTGGACTGGATGACTTCCAACCTTTATGCTATCAGTCTATGTTTCTAAAACTAGTCTTGGAGGATAATATTGAGAACCTAAAAACAGATGCCTGCATGTTCTAATTCTTCCCCACAGTCAAGTGCCCCCAATATCCATCTTTTTCCTTCCTTGGGAATAAACTGCTTTTGTCTGGGCACATGACCTCCCATCTAGGGTAAAACACTACACTGCTCAGTCTCCTTTGCCTTAGCTGTGATTTGGAATCAGGTTCTGCCAACATAGCTGAAGTATTGTGTGGTGTGCAAATTCCAGCAAATGCCCTCCAGGGAAGGGCAAGAAAACTTTCTTCCCTCCTTCCTCTGTCCTGCTGGCTGGAATGCAAATATTATAGTTGGTTCCTCAGCAGCAATCTTGGGTTATGGAGTAGGAACCATGCACTGAAAGCAGCAAAACAAAGGCCCTATCCCTGTGTAGAACAAAAAGCTTTTGATGATAGATTTATTCTTACTTTGAGAGAGAATTAAACTTCCTTTTCATGTCTGTGTACTTGAAGCCACTGTTGGCTGAATATGTGAACCTATCTAGAGAAACCTCAAGACAGGAACCTTTAAAACAGTGATACGAATATAATGCTACCTGGAAAAGTGTGCTGTATTCGAGCCTCACGTGGCTCACAGGGAGTGTGGACTGGGTTTTGGGAGCAGCCGACTCTGGTTTCTAAGCCACTTCCCCAGGTCCTGCCCCAAATATGATTGTAGCTGAGCCTATAAACAAACAGCTCTTCTCCCACATGGAGAAGGGGGGCCAAAAGCTATCTCACCCCACACAGCCTCCTCCCTCCAAATCAGTTCTGCTACAAACGTGATCACCCAACCCTTAGGTTCAGAGTGAAGCTCTTTGTGTGAGCTCAGTGAGTTGGGGCAGGAAAGAAGGGTCCAACCCAGCATGCCGGGCTCCCTCTCAGGTCCCTCCCACACAGGTGTGTTGGAAGGCCAGGGAGGGATGGCCACCCTCCTCTCAGAATCAATGCCCATGGTGTCCTCTGTGCAGGAGCCCTGCCTGACCCAGGCCGGCTCTGCAGAGAACAACAAGGCCCATTCTCATTGCTCCGGCAGAGCTGGTCACTCATGGGGGCACCTGGGCAGGGAGCGTTTCCCATGGCCCCTGCAGAAAAGTGCTTCATTTCACACTCCTCAGTTGAATGGCGGGACACTGGACAGAGGTGTTCAGTGGTCTCGGGGGAAGCCACAGCTCCACTTTCAGGCCTCAATCAGTTTTGAAAAACTGAGAGCCAAAGAGCACACAGTCCCGTGGGGCTCTTCTGAAGGAGGCCAGTAAAGAGACCTCATGTAAGGGACAGAATATAGGCAGCAGCTGCTGCCCTAGCCTGCTGGCCACCCCATGAAGACATCTCTGCTTCTGTCTTTAGACTTCCCCTGTGCAGAGTGGGAAGGTTGCTGACGTGGAGGCTGGAGCTCTGATATCTTATGATTGTGGCATAGGTCATTTCAAAGGCAAAAAATTAACTTTGTTGATGGATGTAAGAACAATTGCAGGTGGGGGAATCACACTCAAGCCACATTTCCTTCCATCATGGGGCCCTGCTGTGGTATCTTGGGCAGCGTGAGCCACAGGGGCAGACACCTCTCAAAGACACCTCAAGAGAGCTCTGGTAGTTGGGTGAGTGGCGTGGGCTCTCTTCCCCGAGTACCCATGCCGTCCAGAAGCATTCTGCTGCAGTGAGTCCTGAAAGGCTCCCTGGGAGACTTGTCTACCGAGCGAGAACAGCTTTTCAACTGGCTGTTAAATGCTTCTAGCAGTGGATGTTGGGACTCTGCTTCTGGGCTGGCAAGACAGTCTTGGAACAGACCCCGGCTGTTGGAGGCCTCAGAAGAGTGTGCTGGTTCCAACACTGGGAGTCTCTGTGTTTGCAAGGCTGGCTGACCAGTGCCCTTATGTTAGAGAACTACTGAAACAGTATGTCATGATGGCCTGAGCTGACTTGTTCTTTAAAGAGTGAGGAGAACACCTTCTGCAGAGCCAGTGTGGGAGAAAGGGCAGACTCGCTTGTCTGAAGGCTGGTACAGTGGGCCATTCCACAAGTCTTTACAATACATGGCTGATTTTCTAGATGGTTGGCTTCTCTGAGTCCAGCTGCTCTTTGGTCCTCCTGTTTGCCAAGTCTCCTAGGGTCAAGGAGATGCAGAAGCCTCACTTGCTTTATCTCTTGGCTCCTCCCCACTGCGGGGCTCATCAGATGCCTGGGACTCTGCTTTCTCCTCAGGTGTCCTAGTCACAGTTACCTGGAGAGCACCAAGAGATGGAGAAGTGTGTAAGAAGAGCCTCCAGAGAGCCCCAGAGAGCCCCAGAGAAATGACAATCCCAAGATCACACCTGATGGCATCCCCAGACCTGCCAAAGGGAAGAGAATTCCTGCCAAGGCCGGAACTTCCTGCAGGGATTTCATGGGAAGGCAAGAAGGTTCCAGTTAAACTTTGAGGCAGAGTGACAGGGAGGAGCATCACCCTCCTGTCAACCCTGCACAAAGGCAACAGATGCAAGCTCAGCTCAGAGACTTTCAAGACAGCATGGCACCTTGGCCTGTGAGCACCAGAGTCCTGAGTGCCAGCCATGCAGTTCTCGCTGGGAAAACCATCTAAATACTCACTTTTTAAGTCTGTAAAACTTGAATGGTGCACCCTAAGTCCCAAGGTTGTGGTGGAGAGTCAAAAGTGATAGTCGATGTTTAGACTGTTTTGCACTGTGCCTGACCAAGTGCTCCAGTGGTCCAAATTATTGGTACCAAGGCCACTGGTAGATGACATCTGAAAACATGGGTTTGAGTCCCAACCTTGCCTTTTATCAGCTGTATGACTTTATGGAGGTCACTTAACTTCTCTGTGCCTTGGTCTTTTCATTGTTAAAATGGGAACGATAACCATGTGATCAAGTGGTACTGCTGTGAAGATGAACTGGGAAATGTTAGCTCAAAAAGTGTCAGTTCACACATCCCTGGTCTCTGGATTGCATCTCTGAGAGGGACAGGAAGGGATCAGATTTGAACCTTGCCTTTCAAATATCTTGCTGGCAAGAAGACAGAAAGGCAAGCATACAAGGAACTGGACTCACAAGTGGCCAGCTACTGTTTTCCTGGGTAAAGGAAGGTAAAGAAGGCACACCACTGACCACATAGAACAATCTGGAGTTCATTCTGTGCCTCGCTTAGCAGAGCTCAGGCTGATAATGGAGCTGAGCCTTTCCTTTAGAAAACACCTGTGTGCACAGCTCACCTTTTCTGCAAAGAGGCAGCAGGCTCTGCAAACAGCTTCACCCTTGGGGATTCTCTGGGGCACAGTTTGATTTGCTCACGTGTCTGTTCTGGGCTGAATATTGCCCCCCAAATTCATATGTTGTGGTCTTAATACCGTACCTCAGAATGCAACTGAGTTTGGAAAGGGGGTCTTTAAAGAAACAATCAGGGAAAAATAATATCATCCAGGTGGGCCTCCCACAGCTACCATCCAGGAGATGGGGATCCAGACACATGCAGGGCGGCCTCAAGAAAACCAGTCTGCCAACCCTTTGACCTCAGATTCTAGTCTCCAGAATGGTGAGAAAACAAACTTCTGTTTTTAGTTCACCCAGGCTATGGCACTTAGCCAGGGCAGAGCCAGGACTAAGGTCTGGAGACGTGTTAAAGGCGTGGTTCAGTGCCATTGGAAGGTGGAGGAACTTCAAAAAGGTGGGGCTGAGGGGGAAGTCATGTCATCAGGGAATGAGGGCATGCCCGGGAGGGGACCGTGGGCCTCTGGTCTCCCTCTCTTTCACCTCTTGGCCATGGGTGATCATTATGCTTCCTGCCAAGATGTGCTGCCTCAGACAGGCCCCAAAACAACAGGACCAAGGGACCGTGGACAAAACCCTCTAAAACTGGAGGTGTTTTTTTTTTTGGTAGGACTACGGTTTGAACTCAGACTTCGTGTTTTCAAAGCAGGCGTTCTACCTCTTGAGCAACACTTCTAGTCCATTTCGCTCTGGTTATTTTGGAGATGAGGTCTCACAAACTATTTTCCCAGACTGGCCTAGAACCACGATCCTCCAGATCTCAGCCTCCCAAGTAGCTAGGATTACAGACTTGATCCACAGCACCCAGCTAAACCTTTCCTCTCTATCCCTGGACTTATCTCAGGTATTTGGTACAACAGAAAACTGACTAACAGGCCTAGTAAACACAGCATCCTTGAGTAAATTACTTAATCATTCTGAAGCTCAGAGGCTTTCACCTCTGATAAGAAAAATGACAGAAACCAACAGGAACATGGCCTTGCTGGATGCCGGCACTGCCTTGTGCATTGGTATTGATGGATGTGTTCTCTCAGGGCCAGTCACATTATAGTTATGGATGGGGAGACTGGGGCACAAGGCTAT